ATATATATATATATATATATATATATATATATATATATATATATATATATCGTGGAATACTATATAGTACCCTATTCTGTGTTGTGTCAACGTGCTTGTAAAAGACAATCAATGATTATTATTCACTCTGTGGTTTAGAAGGTAGAAATATAATAATCAACGCTAAATCACGAAGTTCCCAGTTTCTACATTTTTGAATGGTGCCTCGGTATATTCTAACTTTCATTTTTATTTTTTTATTTTCGTTTTACTTCCTTTAATTGAATATGAAAAGCAGTTTTCAGGAAGGATGAAGCGGTGGCGATTAGATTTGAACACACGTCCTCCGAGGTAAAAATTGGTGACGCTACCACCGGGCCATCACCGCGAGGATTATAAAAGGCGTAATAACTTAAGATTGATGTTTTGAAAAACACAAGGGTCCCTATGTGCACTATTAAGTGAAATAAGAAACGTAAAAATACCAATGAGTGCAGCAAAAGTAGGGTATTTAATTAGTTGGGTTCTCACAGCCAGTGATTTTGAATTGTCGTGAGACGACCGTTATTTTTTGGTTATCCAATTAATTGAACAACGATGAAAAATGTTAATCAGTGTTCCCATCACTATTCAAAAGAAAAAACAAATAAACCAGAACGGCGTGGATAGTGAGTAGATGAATGAGTCTCCGTCATGCAAATTGCTTTCTTTCAACATCGATTAGATTTTCTCAAGATCTCCAACCAGTAAGTTGAGTGAAATCTGTGTCTGTGTTTTCGGATCGACATATCAATACCCCTAATTTTAGTCCACGTTTTCTAGTGTGACCGAACGGACAACAAAATTCAAATGACGTAACACAATGGCCAAAATCAACTGTTTCTTAATTTTTGTTCACATTGATGTTCCAGGGTGGCATTTGTTTGATAAAGGTTATCTGTTTCCATGAGATTACAAATAATTTTGCTTCCTTTCCGTTTGCAATTTGTTGCGTTTATTTCAACTTTGTCCTTTAAGACGAATTTACGTTAGCGCTTACCGGTGCAATATCGATGCCAGGGTACCACGGTGTACGTTTTTTGCAATTACCTCTTCTGATTAAACCGGTACTCGCTTACTTTCAAGCTAAGGGCTGCATTGAGAAGTTCATCATCAGTGACAACAGTCGACTAAATTAATTTAGTGATTGCACATAAATTACGGACTAGTTTGTTTTATCAAATACGATATCCTAAAACATTTCGGCTTTCTGTTTATTACAGTTTGATTTCGTTGTTGTGTTCTGTGTTCTGATCTGATTCCCAGTTCTACATTTTTTCAACTTCAAGTGAATCCGCTGTAACAACGATTCATACGTTACCTGCCTTTGCACGATCCGGTGCGGAAAGTCGACCGCTCTGTTTTGACCTTTCGCTGTTCGTTAAAAACAACTCTCAATCGCCACTAATTGCAAGATGGACTAAACAAAAGACGATAAAACAGATTTGGTTTGACTGAACGTATCAAGTTTGATTTTTCGGTTTTAGTGCAAACAAATCAGTTGTCTGAATCCGCTAAAATAAAAATTGGCAAGTTTAACTGTGAAAAGGCTCTATTTTCTACAAACCGGGCTGGTTCACAGCGGAATGATCCCGTTTTTGTTACGTAACTACAATGCAAAACTGTTAGAAATAAGTGAGGTGTTGCTAATCGAATTGCATAATCCCATTCTATGAGTCCAAAAGTTGGAATGACTATAATCCTGAAGACTCCAGTAACTACAGAGATGTTGAGTAATAATGTGAAATGTCTACACAACCGACCAACTCATTTCAGAGTAGAAAAAATGTCACTGCTTTCCACATGTATGATAGGAAGCTCGTTTACACAATTTTTCTTGGTAATACATAAGAGAAATATACTTCAAAGTGGCATCCGCGATGCCACTGAACCTTTTCTCTTATGCGACATTCAGCATTAAGACAACCGTGGGTAGAATATTTTACCGACCTCTACTTAATACCCCATGGAGCATCTAGTACAGAGTTATCAGCGCTTGTGTGATCAAGGATAACTTTAAATCATTCATATCCTCACCTGTCTCATTCACAGATGTAATCAGTATGTGAAGAGATGCGACAGGTTGAGCAATAATTCAATAAAGGTAAGAACCTATGCGATGAACCTGAGTAGCGGAGGGAGAAGCGGTAACAGATTGTTACCATTGGCATTGTGGATTGAATGTATTAATCATTCAAGGAATGATATAAAAAATATGACCTCTGTTAGCTAGTGAATAGCTTCAAATTTGATCTTGGTACTATTGTTAAGTATCTTGTCAAGTGTGCATATCAATGTCAGAAATACACAAGCAATCGCATGTGATTCAAAGGAACTGNGCCTCAATGAAATTTACTCATTGGGTTATTGAGGCCTCAGACTGACTCCACTCATGGTCACATTCACGTCTGGGCATGGTGACCGACTTATCGATCCACATTGACGTAATTCGCTTCCTTACCCAAGTGAAAAAGGTTAATTAACTCAGGGTTCGTTCATTTGTATCTATCTATCTATCTATCTATCTATCTATCTATCTATCTATCTATCTATCTAT